ATTTCAAAAAAGAAAAAAAAAGCAATTAGTTTAATAAAATATTAAAGATAGACTCAATATTAACCGATAGAACAATTAGCAATTATCAACAGTCTTAATACCATACATATTTCCCGAAACTTCTGTAGGTAAACTAGATTGAATTGAGCTTATGTAGTTAAGCAGTTCTTTTGTTTTTACTGATCAAATATCTGGCAGACTGTCAAAACTCTCCTAAAAATCCTTCTGTTAAGGAAACTGAAAGGGAACGAAACTATGAGAGAGCCATGTTCACGTACTTATTTGAAGGATTGAAGTGGTTTGATTGAAGCTAGGCATTTAATGATTTGCAATCAAACGACATGCCTCCTAATATCTAACATATCTGCCTAAAAACTGTGGCTTCATTACATAGGCGAAGCTGGAATTTATATTTTCGAGTATCAGAAACTAAAGACTTTCTTTGCAAGTAATTACAAGTATATTGAGTTGTGTTTTCCATTGTCAGAATACGGTGGAGATTTACCAGAACCATCTGTTTATCATAGCCTATTAAAACTGTTGATACCTTTGGATAGCAATGCTAAACACATTGTAATGAACATAGGTAAAGCAGAAGAAAGGTCGAATGCTAATCAATTAACGAAGAAAGTATTAAAACCAGCCGAAAGCGTTGATAAATTTGAATATCTGTCCAATATTAATTTTAGATATATTTCTTAGATATACAAACTTAATAATAATTATGACGATGTTAAAACCAGTTTCTTTAATGTGAAATTTTCTATTTCAGGTACCGAGATTACTGGATTAGCTCACCAACTGGGGTACGAACGCGAAGTTATACGCATTTGGTTCTGTAATAAACGTCAAGCCTTGAAGAATACCGTCAGAATGATGTCCAAAGGCATGGTTTAAATGATGTGTCACAGCAATGAAATCAGAAACAATGCTGTAACTGCTACTAAAAAGTACTTTCTATAAATAATGGTTAATTATAAGTAGGGGAAACCAAGGATTGCCGATATCTTGAAAATCAAGAACAACAACTACAACTTTTGTAGATAGAATTGGAATTGCTGATCACTGAAAAAAATGCTGAAGCATAATAACTTATCCGGATGGAAATATGTATTACTTTGATAATGAATATTATATATGAAAACCAATACTTGGAAATATCTCTTATGAATCAATATATTCCAGTAAAAAAATTCCTGTAAATTACTTCGTCGGGTAGTTTTGAAATTGGAAACCATTGAAAAAGACGAGACTTTAGAAGACGAGTGTGGAAGAGTTTTATAAGAGAAAGGGACAAATCAGATTAAAGGAAGTTAAAAGTAAAAGTAAAACATTAATAGAATAATAAAGATATAAGAGACAAAGATTACGGAATCTGGTTTAGTTTTTAAGGATTTGAGTTGATGTACAGGATTCATATTTAATAGAAATAAGCTTTAATGTAAAAGCAACAATATTTATGTATAAACAGACGTAGCCTTAAGATAGACCTAAGTACACTTAAGTGTAAAATTTTTATAAAAACAACTTAAAAAGGATTTTAATAGGAAAGTTTGCGAAAAGTACTCTCAAGCTAAAAAGGATAATTTAGAAATAAAAAAAGTTTTCAAACCAAACAATTCCCATTCTTTGTAAAAGTGTATTTATACAAGTGTGTATGTGTGTGTGTGTGTGTGTGGGTGAGAGTGTGTATATGTGTGAGTTGTGAATGCGTTTTTTGTGATAGTTTTTGAAAAATATAAATGAGATTTAATTAATTTTATAATGTATACAATATGTCTAACAATTTAAAAATTATTTATAATTAAAATTAGTAGTGCTAAGTTTATAAGATTATCTGAAATATGGAAGGAAGTTGAAGGAGTTAGAATTCATGCCATAAAAGGGAAGCAAAAAGAGTGTCATAGCGATTTATTGTAAATTCTATTTTAAGCAAAAAAAAAAATATGTCAAAATTCCTATGAGAAGATTTTCAGTTATACAGTCCATAATGTTAGGAGTGAAAATTTTGGTAGTTTGTTCAACAAAACACCTTCCACGATAGCTAAAATTTATGGACTGCACAAAAAAAAAAAAAATTTTTTATAATAAAAAATTTATCATTCGTTTTTACATTACATTTTATTTTAATAATTTTTTCTTTTGTATTATTTTAATTAAAAAGATTTAAGTTGTGTTTACACGTGCCATTCCAAAAAAAAAAAAATAAAAATAAAAATACTTAAAATATTTTGTTTCTTTCATAAAAGATATTATATTATCTCTAAGCACAAAAAAGTAAATACTAAATTCAAAAGTAAAAATATATAAAAAAAGATATATATAAATAAAATTAAGTAAATATCGAATAAATTACAGAAAAAAAACAAAAAAATAATACTTTAGAACTCTTTTTCAAGAAACCACTAATATTCAATTCCCTTGAACTATTTGAACTATATTTAAAGTAAACAAAAAAATGAACTACTTACATTTTTGTCAAAATTTGTTAGTTTTGTCAAAGACGTCATCAAATTCAAAATTAGTGAAGTAATATAAAACGATGAAATTAACAAAAAAAACTAAATTTTATGTATATGCACAAATTGCATTGTCACCTATGATGAACCTTTCGTATGTGTTAAAATATTATTAATTACATATAAGTAATGCTAAAGTAATGAGTAAAAACAAAAATGTCTTAGAATGTTAAAAAAAATGTATTTAATTTATTCATGAACAAAAAAAAACAAAAAAGGTCTTTGAAGTACTCATAATTACCGACTAGAAATGTAAAATTGATATTGTATGCCACAACATGAAAACATTAATTGAGAATTAATTGTAATAAAGCATAAATAAACAAATTCATAAGTAAAAATAATAATAAATTATAGTTTATTTTAATTCATCCAACAAATAAAACAACAAACGCACTAAATAGAGAATCTCCCCTTTCACCAATCACTTAAGCATTTAGAGAACCTAAGAAAAGGAAGAAGAAAACAATAGATAATATTGTTTTAAACCTGCTTTTAAGCTACTTCGATTGCAAAATGATAGTGTATAAGAAACTAGAGACAACAATGAATGTAGTTGAGATGATCATGTCAGTCAGCCCCCATTCACCCCATTCACTTCATTCACCCCATTCACTCCATTCACCCCATTCACCCCATTCACTAGTTTAAATATTGTTATATTGTTATAGATATAAATGCTCTGGAATTAGAACCTCAAATTATGATTTTTTTTACATTTTATAGCTTTTTTACTTACCTTCGTAAGAAAGAAAATAAAACTGATAAAGGGGAGTCCCTATACTTATTACTTTTTCTGCTGTGACTGTTGTAAACATTCATATCCTTATAAAATAGAGCAAGAGGGGTTATGACCAATCTTTATGTTATGAAAATACTCAACTTTTTTAATAGAATAATTATAATTTACACAAAGTTTTTTCTTTGTTTTATTAGTTTATTTAATGTTTTTTCCTACTAAAATTATTATACAAAATTTTATTGAATTATAACAAATCTTATATAAAATGGCATTGTCTCAATTACTTTTATTTTCTAAGCTAATCACTCAACATAATTTCTAGACTCTTCTGCTTTTTCCAAACTCGATACTCTATGAGCCAGTGACGACGCGTGCCCTATCTGGAAGGGTGTGCGGCCCTTCTATAATGTTGTTTTTACATGTACCACTTATATTAAAATATATGAGATGTTTTATTAATAATAACTATATTATGTTAGGCAACAATATATTCGTAATATTATATTAACAATTCATTAACAAAATAACATATTAAACAAATTAAATTAATAATTTATATATAAATTTAATATTATATCAAAAACAAAACTTTTCATATACTTGTAACATCAAACCAACTTTTTTCAAACAAAAGAGTTTTAACTCAGAACCATACATGTTTATCCAGTGATCAAACAAAATCAAACTCACTTGCAACGTACAAATGTGCGCACATGTACTCCGCACAGTAAGAACAGAAATTCGTGGGTGTTACTGTTAAAAGGGGAGAGACGAAATGTGATAGAAATGTATGGTGAGATGAGCTGCAAACTTCAGCCGCTCATGCAATCACTTTGGCAAATCATCATGTTGGATTCGTATGCATGCAGTTGATATTCGAAGAGAACAGAAAATTACTCTCATACAATTCCCACTATATAAATCTCTATTTCTGATATTACGAACGGGAGCACACACACATTATTTTGTTCATATGCAACGTATGAATGTGTGGTCAACTTCTTTGCACACAAAGGGGAGAGACGAAATATAATAGAAATTTTCTGTGATTTGAGCTGCAAATATATGAGCACAACTAACAAGTATAGCGGCTAACAGAAGTAAATTGATTGAGTTTTCATAGACAATTATATTTAATTGTTTTTGCTAAAACTTTAAAAATATATATATATGGAAATGTAATAAATAATAATAATTCTTGATGTGAAGATACTTAATAAATTTATGTACCTATGTTATTTAACATTTTGCAAATTATGTTAGGGTGTTCACCGCACACCTCCGCACCTTAGAGCAGTCGTCACTGCTATGAGCCCATAACTAAAAACAATAAAAGAAAAACGTTTTAATGAAAATTTAAAGTTTTATTAAAATAATTTCTTACCCTGTGCAGCCTACAAGGAGCACAATCTGAAGTATAATCAACTTCGTGGAGGTGCAAAGCTGCGAACTGATCACATAACCAATCACAGAACCAGTCGATTCCCATAAACGAAAATTACTATACGCTGCGATAAGGTCTTTGGGAAAAAGAATACCATAGAAAGCTGAAAGAAAACTCTTTTAAGTTCTATAAAATTATGCAAGTACGTAATGTGATTATGCAGTATTTAAATTTTATGAGTTCTAATTATTTTTCTGTCCGTCAGTACGCAATTTTCAAACGCTACTGGAATTAAAAAAATGGATTTCTACAATGCACTCTACTGTGAAATGTATCTCAACTTCCAGGACATCCTACCTTACCCTTGTATATCTGTAGTGTTCCTAAATTTATTCAACAACTTTGTACTAAAATTAAAAATGAAGGCGTATTTATTATGTATATTTTATACTCCGCCATTTTTAGTCACTAGATGGTGTTCATACCCAAAGATCTAGCAATACTAATCCGACTATGTCAAGCAAATATGATATATGTTAGAGTATTTTTCATGTGTGGAGAGAGATTCTGCAAGATACGGCAACTTGCTTTATATACTTCTTTTTATATATTATTTTTGTTTGTATTAATATCAAAATTACCTTAAATTTATTTTTTGTTAATTAATTCTATAAAATTAATTATAAAAATTAGCTGAATTTTAAACCCAATATGGAAAACGTTATTTTGAAAGGTACTGTACATTTTATCTGCTTTGTTTAAACTTGCTGGAGAGCTTTATTCTGAAGTGTGTCTATGCTAACGTACTTTACAAATGAAAACCTAATCAATTGTCTACAAAAACCTTATTATATTCTCTTACAAACCTATGTCGTACGGTCTTCGATATGAACAACAACCAATCGGTTCAATAAAATACTAACGGTTCAATACTAATGAACACCGCTCCACAAAGACCGTAATATTACGATATCTTCTTTGAAGAATGCCATGACGAAGTCAACCACTTACCATTGACAACAACCAGCCAGATGCCGTCGCAAATTCCCCACACAGCAGCAAAAGCGCAGTACATAAGATAATCGTTTTCACGAGCCGTATACAAGGACATGTAGCCAAGCAGCAGCAAATTGATTAAGGCACAAATAAGTGCTAAGCTGACACGTCCAATTTTCTCCACCAAGCCACCAGCGACGCCTGCAGCAATAGCATTGGCCACACCAAAGCAAATCATTGCAAAGCCAATATTTGAAATTCCCCAGCCGCAAGCAACGAAAGACTATAAAATATAAATATGAGAAAACAGAAAGAAGCGTTGGATTTAATTTAATTTAGGAGCATCTCGAGCGACTAACCCTGGTATAGTCCACAGCTAGAAAAGCTTCTTCCAGACCTATAAACATCGTAATTGGCAGCAGTAGAATCTGTCGCCGTTTGCGCAGCAAATTAATGGTCACCATCAAGAGCTTGAAACCAGACATGCCATCACCCGCCTCACCTTTCTTAACGCCATAACTATCACATGCACGATTCGTAAACATTGTGGTGAAATATTCGATTGACTTACCGACTCAATGAGTCCACAGCGAAGAACATCAGCAATACTGCGACGACCATACAGACAAGAAAAATGGAGGTGAGCAACTGTATTTTGGCAGGATCGGGTGGACTCAAGTTTGGTATTACTTCAGCGCTGACTCCAGGACAAAAACGGGCACCGCACAACTCCGTGACCCGATCTTGCTGTGCTTCCTCAAAAGGCGCCAGTGATATATTAGCTATCGAGGAAATGTTCACACCTGTGTGACTGTCATCGGAGCTGGAAAAGGATAACACTAGGGCAATGTTCGTCTTATTTTGTAATATTAGTACTTCGTGGCTGTGTTCTTACCTGATGATGAGATTAAGTTACCCCACACCTGTGCCATTTGATAGAATATGAAGAAGAGACCAAACAGTTTGACGGTGTTGACATCCTTCAGCGAGAAACGACCACGTACTTTGGTCAATGCCTCCGATACTGTGGAGAGATATGTACATTTCGAACACCATAATGGACCACCACCGAAGCCCACCATCAAGCCGGCGGGTATCAATGTTTCGAAACGTGGATGGAATTGCGCTGCTATGTAGGGCATGTAGACGACAAATGCGAGCGCCATTGTCACACGGCAGCCGAACCATCTGTAAGAAGACAAATTTTTTTTTATTCATTCGGGAATCGCAAAACAATAAAATAAATTGGAATTCATTTGCATCAAAGTGCAATCTTTAGAAAAGAAATGGATTGGATCAAATTGAAATGGCGTTGCAAAGTGCATCACTTGAAGTGAATCCTTGCGGGGATGCGAGTAAAGTGCGAGTAAAGTTGTGTGGTATATGGGCCAGAAGCAGTGAGAATATTCAATTGTCCTAACATCACTTGCCGCATAAACGTTTCGATTGAAATATTAAATTTCTAAACTGAATTCGCCGCGCTATTCAAATAATTACGCCTTTGCGCCTAGTTTTATGCTTCAATTAGTGTCGCTTTTATTAAGTGTTTGCCGATAAGCCATACAATAGTGAGAAATAGTGAGAAGGCAGGCATTAGGCAAATGATGTCAACCTCGAGCATAAATCAAACGCAGCTTGTCACGTAAAACCTTACCGAACTATGACTTCCCAACCAGCAGACATATATATAAACTGCGTTGAATGTGTATGTGAGTGTGTGCGTGTGTGTGTTTATGTGAACAGTTATGGTATATGCCATATAAGCTATCCGTTGTCACACATGTAAATCTGCTTAGACTTGACAGTGCGAGTTAAGCGTAGCAAGTTAAGTGGAGCTGTCATTTTATTTCTAAGCGATTGGGTTTTTGTTTGTGCACACGTAGGAATTCTGCTGCTACCTCATATTTCGCATTGCCACTTCAGACTCTGTTGACTTGAGTTGCGAAGAGCGGTGTGCCATTTCAGCCGATTGACTGTTGCATATTAAAAGTGAAGTCATGCCAAGCCATGTAGAGTCATTCGAAGTCATGTCATGTCGTGTAGTGTCGTACGCTGAAATGTGTCAATGGCATTGATAACATGTCACACATCGCACATATCGCACACATCGCACACATGTGCGCTTCACTGATGTGTGTTTGTATTTATTGGAGTAATGATGGGAAAAAAGGCGAAAAATGTCCAATGCTCGGGATTCATTGACACACTTCAGACTGTCGCAGTGTCCCGGCGGCCTGCATTCTGTCGTTCTGTCAGTTCTGTCAGTCCTTTGACTTTGTACGGCACTCGGTAATGCAATAAAATATTGATAAGCCGATTTAATTACAATCCAAGATTTATTTGATTTGCTCACATGCCAAGCCAAGCAGTAGCAAAACACACAGCCAGAATGTGGCGGCCAAGCGATGAGACCAGGCGATGTGAAGAGGTTAAAACTATTAGACATTTCGACCATCACAGACGGCAATAAAATATTAGCTCGACATTGATTTGTGCTAAGACAAGGACAACACAAATTGATTGCCATTTGATTACGGCATCATGTATATGCTTGTATGTGTGTGTGTGTGCGAGTGCGAGTGCATGAGTATGGGTTTGTATCTATGTACATGGCTGTGTCTGCTCACGTCGTTGGGTAAATTAATTATTTGGCATTTCATGTGTTGTTGTTGAGTTAATCCCATAAATTCGATAAGGTGGCATCAGCATGTTAAGAGGAACTTAAGCGCTTAGGCGTTATGCCTAAAATATTCAGCAAATGTGTGATAATCAGCTTATCGTAGATGTTTTTTTCTTATTCGGCTTAAGTAAATCTTCCAATGTTGAATTCTTGGAAATATA